AAACTTTCATCTTTAACTGACAATTCCTGAGAAGTGATAACTCTATGAAAGCAGGTTTCCTGAGAAATGAAAGCAGGTTTCCTGAGAAGTGATAACTCTATGAAAGCGGGTTTCCTGAGAAGTGACAACTCTATGAAAGCGGGTTTCCTGAGAAGTGACAACTCTATGAAAGCGGGTTTCCTGAGAAATGAAAGCAGGTTTCCTGAGAAGTGACAACTCTATGAAAGGGGGTTTCCTGAGAAATGAAAGCAGGTTTCCTGAGAAGTGATAACTCTATGAAAGCAGGTTTCCCGAGAAGTGACAACTCTATGAAAGCAGCTTTCCTGAGAAGTAACAACTCTATGAAAGCTGGTATATGTTAAATTTTCAGAGAATTATCATAGTTCAAAATTCCACATCTATACACTAACCTTTGCTATTTCAGCTTTATGTGGCTCTCGATTCCCACCAATACAGAGGACTTCTGCTTGTCCATCATCACTCAACTGGATTCTAAATAGTGGTTTTCTTCGTAATACACTGAGAATATCTGGATCTCGAGGAGGAAGAAGCTCTGTAGCTTCTAAAGTTCTTTTGATCTTCTCAAACTATGAATACGTGATATATATGTACATAAACAGGCAATTATAAATATAAAAATACACACATATTTTTAATCTTGCAGATTAATGTGATATTTTTTATTCCTTTCTTCTTATTCTTTCAGTTTGATGCATTCCTTTTCCTGATGGGCAATATAATCGATTAATTGAAATTAGTGTTTCAAATTATTCTAACAATTCAAGTAATCAAAATATTGCAATTGTGTTTGTTTATTAAGCATAATGGGCTATCTATACTCTGTCCAATTTTTGCCTTATAAGTTGCTTTTTTTAATTTCTAGTTTGTTTAGCTTTGGTAATTCGGGAGGAGTACTCGTGATTTGAGTATCTCGTGTTTGATTCCCACTGCAACCAAACTCGTTTGCCCTGTCTTTGTTATGGCACAGCTACTAAAGTTACCTGACACTGTCGCTAATTTTGAACTGATAACTAGAAGGAGGTCAACTGTCTGGCAGAACCTACCATCAACGTTTTCCAATCTTTGTTTTCTTTTTTGAACTGATGACGTTGGCAAGTGACTAGCAGCACCCAACAACAAATTTTTTTTCTTTGCTTGACATATCATGGTTTGAGGTACACTGTCCTAATTAATTAGTTGAATATAGTAATTTAATGGGGCTATTGATTAAGCGATTAGTAGATATCACTAATTACAGAGTTCTATTGATTAATAGGTATACATAACTTTGATACACTCCACATATGAATAAAGGTAAAATCTGTGTTAATAGTTTCACTTTGAGTTTACTTACTGATTATAAGTATTATTTTATTAAAAGTTACAGTTTTTACAGCAAGGAAAGTTATATTATAAAACAGGTACGATGTTTCTATCACTGGTACTTGAGAATAGTCGCACCAGTGATCAAAACGTTGTACTCGTTCTCAAAAGTAATATTCCTTATTGTAAATTTGTGTTAAGATCTTCTTTTAATGCTAATAAAATCAAACGCTCAACTCAAATGGTTTGTTTGGAAACAAAACTATAAGTAAACTCATGTACCAAAGTTTTAAAAAAACATCAGTAAGGATATGGAAAGCCTGCTGTATAAGGACAAAAAAAAAACTCTCAATAAAGCTTTTGCTGTGACATTTAGTTATAGATAACACAAGCCTGCAATAGTTTTATTTTAACATGTTCTACAGTAATTCCTGTACATAGAATCCGAAAATGATATCCATTTTTCTCCATCACTTACAGACTTTTCACAAAACATCATAATGCAATACATAAAAGAAAGACCACACCAAGTAGTTTTGAGACTAAAAGATGTAGATTTCACAAAAAAAACAGGATGAATGAGGATGCATA